TATCAGAAATCAAACTGTATGTTATGGTGGCAAAATAAATAGTTAAATGGGACCTACAGTTCTGTGAGTCGCTGATTATACAAATACTGTATAATATACGGTAAATACTGTATAATCCGGAACTGCAGCACTGCAAACCCATGTGAAATTTACAGTGAAGTCAAGAAAGCCTGCAGGAGTAAAGTCAGCCTGATTGTCTTTCAACTAGCTTTGTTTTTATATATGTATGAATCTAAACACGCAACAATTACGTTTTCTGAAACGAAACAGATCTCAGATGAAGTAAGGCCTGGAAAGTGAATGCGCTGCAGCGCTGCGCATTGAGATGTAAATCCCGATCTGCAGAGTAAACAAGCTGCGTGCCCCGGACACAGTGCTCCACTGCACGCCGTGTACCAGCTAGAATGTACTGAAGGCTTGGAGAATAATCCAGCAAAATAAATAAATAAATAATAAAATAATAATAATAATAATAATAATAATAATAATAATAATAATAATAATAATAATAAAAACTAGCACCGACTAAACACACACAGAGAGCGGGAGAAACAACACTTGAAAGAGAAATAAATAATAAAGTCTTTATAAAGCAGCTCAGTAGCATAATAATAATAATAATAATAATAATAATAATAATAATAATAATAATAATAATAATAATAATAATAACAAAACTCAAGACTAGAAATAATTTCTGACTTGCTGCAAAGGAGTTAAAAAAATGCTTAAACAGTTAGGCTCATTTGTGGACTCACCTGAATTCATCAACACATTATAGGCATTATAAGAATAATCTGTTGACACTAAAGCTCTTCTAAGGATGGTGTTTGACGCTATCAATGATTTAGGTACAAAAAAAACCAAACAAACAAAAAAAAAAACAAAGTTAAAAATGACTGAATAAAATTGGCGTAGCTTCACAACTACTAACATAAATCTACAAATCAATAAATAAACAAATAAATAAATCAACCCAACAAAATGCAAGACTCTAGAAAAAGGAGGGAGGAAGAATATAGCGTATCAACATTATATTTAATATTTTTGTTTCAAGAGACGCAAATACACGCAAATACTTTAAAATAAGAAATGGCATGCTACACAATAACATTATATAACAATATTAATAACATAATTATGAACTTATGGCAAAATAAATGTCAGGGTCCGCACATGGGATGAATAAGCGCTCCAAGCAGCCGCCTGTCAGATGGTAGCAGCAGTATGAGAAGCAGAAAATCACTCTGGATATGGACGATTTCATGGTGAAATGGAGGAGAAAACATTCTTCCACTTTAAGCCTTTACTAGAAAAGTTTCAAGAAAGAAACCTCACCTAAATGCTATTAAGATCAACGATGAAGAAATAATTTCTCTTTCTGAAATAATGACTTGATTATTTATTTATTTACTCACTTATTTGTATGTATCATTTTACTTTTTAATTGACTTTCACCTAATCAAACAGTTGTGTAAGTAAAAAAATTAACAACAAATGAACAAGAACAATAAATGCATTCATTATTTTTAACCGTATGAATTTAGACGAACTCGGTCAACCAAACATGGGTGGCTGTAGACTAATTTAACAGCGACACCTCTTAAAACAAGCTAACAAAGTTCATTAAGGGCATTTAAATTATGTTTCTGCCTTTTTTTTCTGTACCGTTGTGCAAGTTAGACTGGGAAGTGAGATGGTGTGAGAGCTGCGCACCACTTTAAAACAGTAGAGCTCATTTAACGAAGGACTGAGGGCTAACTATTGAAAGCTGTGCAAGTAGCCCAGCGCTGCCACACAACAAGCAGCAGCACACAAAAAATGCAGTGAGGGACTCGAATCCCTCACTGCATTTTTACTGCATTGTTTAACCCTGCAGAACAAGCTTGTTCTGCAGCAGTACACAGCATGACTGTAATGGGGTAGCTCCAAATAACAGAAGGGTAAGATTACCCTCATCAGCATGTTTAAACAACTATAGTCCAGATAGACATGCACTATGCTCCAGGATCATAACATCAGATTACCTCTAATAATTTTGCCAATCAATAGAACGCACATTTCCTGCAGAAGCCAATCTTTATATTTCAACATAAAGGGCTATATAGTGCCGCTATCATGCCAAGGTTTTCTTTGTGTTCATCTTCTTGGTTCATTATCGACAATTTCATTGCTACAAGGCTCTATGTGTTCATGGATCACACGTGTAGATCACATAATATCAATGGCCCCATGAACGTCACGCAGGACGGGGGCTCATTTCTTATTTTTTCTGATCGGCTTAGTGATTGGGGCCCTACTCCCCCCCCCCCCCCCCCCCCCCCACACACACACACACATATTTATATATATATATAATAACTGACCACCTTTTAGGAGCTTTGTCAACTTTTAGCATGCTTCCACTCTTTTAACGATTTATCTTTGGTAATGAGCTCCAATTCTGAGGTTTGAAGGTATACTGTCCAATAAAATATATTTTACAAAGTTTTGTACTGGTGTACTAAAAACAGTAGCAATAGTTGCATAATGGGAAGAAATATTTATTTGGATAATGGCCACTTTTGTTTGCTCTGTGGTGTTTTGCGTGGAAGTATCGCAGCCAGGCCTCTTACCCTCAGGAAACACGGTTCTCATCTTCAGGTAGCTGGTTGTCAGGCGGATGATTGAGGCTTTATCCAGTTGGGAGGTGATGGCAGAAGGAAGCGGCAGCAGCTTGGCCAGTTCGTAAAACTCACTGTTTTCCTTCTCCCGACGCGTCCGGGCCGCATTTTTGGATTTTTCCTTCATGTTGGCGGTGTGTTCCGGTCCGGTGCGGCCCTCTCCCTTCTAAGTCGATTTGCGCTTACCCATGTCCTGCTCTGGAAGCGATATCTCCCCCGTTCTCGGCCTAAACCCCACAGCAGACGGCGCGCGGAGCTCTCTTTACGTTTACAGGTGTTCCTGATAGTTCACGACCCATGAGACCAAAGTACTTCTTACGTCCCTTCTATTGAGGGATTATTCATTATTTGGTGACACCGAAGAACTCAACGCACACTGAGATCCATCACACCTGGTGCGAAACTTGCATGAACAACTGAGGAAAATGCCTACAGGAGGAAGAAAAAAAAGAAGAAAAAATAAATAAATAAAATTCATTAACAAATTAAATGTGTTTTCCGGCTATCTTAATACAAGAACATAAACACATTGAGCCGCAACTGAAATAGAGGTAAGCATGAGATTACAACCTAACGGCCGACTGAATTGAATAATATCCCAGACTACAGTGAAAATATTTTCCTTACCTCAATGCAGACTTTATGGCTAGCTTCTACTGGAGGGCCTGCTGGAGCCGTTGGAGTCCGCACGCAACCTCCATCTAGCACAAAGCTCCTGGTAGGATTCTGTGATCAGAAGCGCAGCTACAGTTTCTTTTGAGACAGTGGGAGACACGCCCTCTGAAAACAACATAGATGGTATTGGACAATTGCTTACGCTCAGCGATTGTCTATTGGTTATTCTTTAAAACACCTCGTGGTTCAAGGTGAAAAAGTGAAAACCGAAATTGGCCACTTGGTTCTCTTACTTTTAAAAAAAATACAGTTCATTTATTTTCAGTCACGTTTATTTCTTTAGGGCACTCAACATTTTGACCATTATTTCGTGAACTAGCGACTATGATTATTGACGCTAGTTCACTTCTTAAAGAAGTTATCTGATATATCTGTCTCAAGAGTTGTTTTTTTAAATACACACATTATCTATAAAACATTCTTTATAAACTGCTTCCAGCAGTAACAGTTATACTATATCTAGTTCACACAAGGTTTTTTGTTATATGTGTGTGTGTGTATATATATATATATCGTTTTCAATATATTACCTTAAAAATTAACTGTAAATTAGCCATATATTTTAGAAAACTTTTCTTTTCCAATGCAAAAAGAACGATGGTAGTGTTAATATTCTCACAACGTCGTCGCTCTCTTCGCGCTCGCACGCACCTGTGTGTGCGTTTGAGTGTCGGAGAATCTCGGTAATGTGCTCCAGCTTTATTTGGAACAAAATCACCCAGATCGCTGGAGGTTCAGCTTCAAAAGTAATTTCAGTTTCTCATATATATAGTAATCATGTCGCATACTGGGAAACAAATGACTGAAGAAAAAAACTCCAGTGCACAAATTAATTCTCTGTGCACTTAGGACGGACAAGTACGCAGCCACTGAACGACAATTCCTTAACCGAATAAAAATAAAAACGGGGAAATAAAAATAACAAAATGTTTACAATTATTATTGTGATTTAGTTAGATTTGGTTACAGCTTATTTATAAAGACAGGCCCTACTGAGTGGTAGGGGGCCAGATTAAAACCAGCCCTACACCAGTTCCCAACCTTCTTTGACTTTTGTGCCACCTGATCCAATTTGTATCCCATCAGTCAAATGTGTTGATTTTCCAAAAGTAGAATTAAATTAAAATTATTTAATTTAATCTGCTTCCCCTGAACATTTAATTGTCAGACAATTTATTTTCAACTCAAATTA